GCCTTGGTTGTTGACTACCGTAATCCGTCTGTAAAGGCCACGTTCAGTTTGGTGGAGATATAACTGCTGAGTACACATATCTCTTATGCCTAATTAGGCCCGCTGTCAACGGCCTAATTAAATCCGGCAGGTAAAATCTGAAACTTGTAGTAGACTTGTGATGTACTAAGCTATCATAACGCTTTTTTCAAGTTCACCTGCCATATTTTTTGGCTAAATCACTGATTTTTTGGGTTTTCGAATCGGTACCCGAATCAGTTGCTATGTTCCATCTAGCGGCGAAACGCCGGCTGAAACGCCGGCTACGAATCGAAGGCTGTAACGCCGGCTAGCTTCACTTTAGTTCCCCCTGATCTCAAAAGATTTTCATGGTACCAGCAAGAGAAGGGTTAAGATTTGTTTTCTTGACAAAACGTATTTCGGCTGCGGACATGTTTGGAAAAGTGTGTGGTCAAGGACACTTGTGCATATAATGTCCTTGGTTTGTCATATTCTCTGCTAATAATGACCAAGAGAGCTTCCTGGTCTAATATGAAGTGTAAATTGGTTATGAACCCTTCTTAACGCTATGGATACATTTTTTGTGTAATTATTGTTTGTTTGCATCGAGCCGCCGGAACGTTAATGTAACTGGCGTGCGATAAATTCTTAGTCAAAATCGGGCAAGTAACTCAGCACTTATACATCGATACTTCCTTTAACATGTTTATGGATTTATTTGGGTATTTTGCGGGGTGTATCACTCTCTAAAAAGACGATAACCTAATACTTAGTATAAACATTTGCGACTCCACTTGTGGCAAGATTTTTAGAAGTTATAAGTTAAACTCGCAAATACTTAGGAGATACTGTATGATATCTGTGCGTAACCGCATAGACAATGTATCCAGAGCGTTCAAAAGATTTCATCACCCATGTACACTTCATATTAGGCTCGGTTGAAACCGGTTGAGGTATTTAGGTAGACCCTTACACCTTACATATGATGTTGGAGTTGTTGAACAGCACATGATATTCCGCTCTTTCTTTAATTGCATGTATCACGTGTGTCGCAGCGAAGCTTCCGGCGCATTGCAGAAGGATGTCCTTGGATTGTATGTATGATAAGTCGACATTTTAAAACAAATCTAGATAATATCACTGCATCAAACGTAAGTCTAGCGCTTCACAAGCAACGATTTTCAGCATTGTGTTGCCGAACGGCACCGCCTTACGAAACTGATATGCCTGTACCGTAGGCTCAGGAACATGGCTACTTTTGAGTCGAATAATCTATTTATTCCGTCGATCTATGAACAATTTTCCGAAAGTATCAGTTACTTCAGTTTGAGGTGTGTTGGAGTCGATATAAAGTTTTATTATTTCAATTTATGGATAATATAGCAAGTATAGAAATGGTATGTATATACTTAGTAATCATGTGCCACGCCACCGAAATGAGGTCATGCGGTGCATTCTGGGGCGGTGTTGCAAATAAAAATTCCCATTGTTGGATTACGTCTGTACCCACGCTGGTTATAACGGAGTCAGTGTATTTGGTGGGCAAACATTTTCGTTTCGGACGTACTAATTATGAAGACATGGCGCATTGTGTAAATCATGCATTTTCGTGTGCATCGTACATGGGGGACAATAAAAACAATTCCACAAATGAAAATTCTTGTTAAGGACATTCTGTATAATGTCCTTGCACTTGGTTATACAGAATATCCTTTAACAAGAATTTTCATTTGTGGAATTCATCATGCAAGACCAAGCCGTTTTTGACAGCCCGCAGCTCTATAACTAGTACTCGTATATCACGGCGTCCGAAGTTCTCGGATCTTCTAACAGTCTTTGCTAGGATTACGAATATTCAATAAATAAAGCCATCTTACCATTGCTTTGTACAAACTACAAATTACGCTGAACGTATCTTTTTTTCTTCATAAATGCGGAGAACACATAATAACATTGTTGTGTCAATTTAAAGCGATTTGTCACGGTGCAAGTGTCTGCAAGGAGGTTATAGTACCAAACCTTTGGTCGGCTTGGCGGTAATTTTTTAGCCTCTACCAGGCACCGCGGATCGCTGGAAAAATACTAGTAGCAGAAATTGTCCGTGGGTCGCAAAATGGGGCTTCTCTGGCCGGCTAACTCCCCTGGTATTATTCCTTTATTTTGGCCAATTTCTACTATTTTTCCAGCGATCCACGGTGCCTTGTTGAGGCTAGTCATTTTTCGGCCCCGGCCTTTTCAAGCAAAGGCGAGTTTATATACAACGGACCTATCTCCAGCTGGT